CAGGGACCAGCGACCCACCCGAGACCAGCTGGAGATGCAGGCTCCCCCCTCCCGCCATATGACGGCCTGCAGGTCCCCTCATGGGGACCTGGGGGCTCCCCTCCCCCATGGGCCGGGCTCCCCTCCCCCGAGGGTCATGATCCCCTCCCCCGTGGGCCCAGCTCACCTCCCCCGTAGGTCTGGCACAGGTACGGGAACCTCCAGATGTTGCCCAGGCCCACAGCGAACCCCACGCAGCTCAGCAGGTACTGGAGCTTGTTGTCCCACCTGGGCCTCTCGTCCCCACTGCTGTCCCCAAGTGAGTCTGGTCCCGGGGCGAGTGCCATGCCCGCCATGCCCTTCTGGCTGCCCGCCCCGGGAGCCCTCCTGAGCCTCTCTGCTGGAGTTGGAAGCCAGGAGCAGTGTCCCCTCGGGGTGTCTTTTTTGGTTATTTAAGGGAAAACCAGTGGAGCCGGTTAATTGGTAACTCAGGCAGTCCCTCCCTGACCCCGTGGCCTCTGCCCACGTCTCATGCCCGATGCAGGCAGACTGCGGGCTGGGCCACCACCAACGCGAGAGCCGTTCCCCCTGGGGACGCTCAAGGACTCCCAAGACGGGGTGTTGTTTTTTCAAAAATTATATACTTTTTAATTAAGCTTTTGACTGTGAGATAATCGTGGATTCACACGTCGTTGTAAGACACAGACAGCCCACTCGCCCAGTTTCCCCGGTGGTGACATCTTGCAAATACCTGTCAGCGTCACAGCCGGGATGTTGAGCTGGGCAGTCAATTCAGGACACGTCTGTCACTGGAGGGTCCCCCCTGCCCCTTTCACGTCCACATCCACCTCCCTTTCGCTCCTACCCCGTCCCTAACCCCCAGCAACATCCGATCTGTTCTCCCTCGCTACAGTTTTGTCATATAAGCGTCAAGGATGTCACATAAACGGAATCACGCAGGGGGGACCTGTTGGGGTGGGCTTTCTTCGCTCAGCCTCATTCTTTGAAGCTCTGACTCCTCTGTCGGGTGTGGTGTGAACCAGCTGCCATCCATGTGCATGCTCGCAGGAGAGGTCGGGGCCGTTGGGAACAAGCACTGATTTCTGCATGGACGTGGGTAAACCCCAGGGGTGGATTGCACGTCATGTATTGTGCTGTGTTTATTTTATTTATTTATTTATTTTTTATTAATTTACTTTTTGTGTGTGAGGAAGATCGGCCCTGAGCTAACATCTGCCAATCCTCCTCTTTTTGCTGAGGAAGATCGGCCCCGGGTCAACATCCGTGCCCATCCTTCTCCACTTTACATGGGACGCCTGCCACAGCATGGCCTGACAAGCGGTATGTTGGTGTGCGCCTGGAACCCGAACCGGCGAACCCCGGGCCCCCACAGCAGAGCGCACGCACTTAACTGCTTGCGCCACCGGGCCGGCCCCCTGTGTTTATTTTTAAACCACATTTATTTTTCAAAGAGATTTCCAAATGTCTCACATGGTCTGAGTATGGACTTTCCGACGGTTCCAAACGTTCCTCTTCTGAAGAGGTCCAGGTGGGTTCTGGAAGACCCACCCTCACCTCTGCCTCCGTCGACGCCCAGCGCCTGGCAGTGCCTGTACCTGGCCCAGCCCCCTGCTGGTGCCCAGGAATCTGCTCCAAGTGTAAGCCTGCCACGTGCCACGGATGGGAGCTCGGAGAGGGGGTCCTGCAGTGCAGAGGGGCTCCCCGGGGTGGGGGCGGGGGAGAGGGGCTTCCTCCTCTTGTGCCCTACACTCTCAGGAGGCGGGGGGCTTCCCCCACCCTCAGCACCCACTGCCGCCCTTGGTGATACCCCAGCACATGGGGGAGGGGTGGGTGCAGCCAAGTTGGGGGGGAGTTGTGAGGGGAGGGGGCGGGGGAGGCGGAAGGGAGGTGTGGCCTAGCCCCCAGTGACCTGCACTGTCCTTCCCACGCCCTGTCCTGGCCCCCAACCCAGCCAACCTCACCAGCAGCCTCACATCCTGAGGCCAAGGCCCACGCTGCCTGTGCTTCACAGGGTGCCTTGGGCAGTGGAAGGGGCCACCCGCCACTCCCTGGGCTCCGTGGACACAGCCTGGTGGCTTCTTTGGAGAAGATCCCCCAATCAGAACCGCAGCCCCGCATACCCCTCGTGCCTGGGCCTCCACCATTGGCTCGTCCTTCTGCCTTCAGAGCACAGCAGTGAGGCCGAGAATGTGAGATTGAGTGATTTACTTAGACAGGCACATGTTATGCCCACAAAACCCGCGTTTCTAGCAATTTGCAAAGACACCAAGTCTGTAAAAGAGGGCGGGCCTCAGGTGACATAAAGTACCCGGATCAGCCCCCCAATGTCACCGCGTGAGTCGCTGCCCCCCAGGCCCCATGGGTGGGACAGCGTGTCAACAGGCACTGATCGCTGTTTTCCCAATCGAAGATCAGAAAGTTCGAGGGAGAAGAGGAAATTGGGTCCCAAGGAAGCCATTGGCGCTGGTGTTGGGGGGAGGCCCGCAAGGCAGCATGGGACTGTGGGCTTCCTGGCAAGTGCGTGCCATTATGGCCTGGGGTGGAGGACCATGGCGGGCCACCCACTCTGCCTCCAGAGTTTCTGTAGCTCGTGACATCCAGGTGGCCGGCCATACAGGACTCTGGACATGCTGAGGTGTTTGGAGGTTCTCGGCCGGGACCCACTCTCCGCTCTGATCTCCCATCCCTGCCCAGAGAATTCTCAGAAAGTCCAGTTTAACTTAAACTTCTAGATTTTTCCATGGAAAGTGGAGGTGACTAATTCATTGAAACAAACACCCCAAGTCCCAGGTCACTTTGGCTGAGATTGGCTGTCACGTCCCAGAAAACAACCATCCCGTGACTGGAAGGAAAAGCCAATGCCAGCTTTACTGAGTGGCACCAAGTGGATGGTCGTCCAGGGACTTCTCGGTCCCTGATGCTGCTCAGGACACGTGGACTGTCCTCAACCTTGGTGGCTGAGGCTGAGTTACCCTATAACTCGTCCTTTCCAACATCTGGCTAAAAATTCACGCAGTTGATTCCTCTTAAGAAAGCACAAAGGGTGTTTCTTACTTAAATTATACCAAGTTGAGTTTTATTTAACTGTTCAACTATTTGTGGCAGCCAAAAGCAATGATTAAACAGATTAGCATTCATTAAGCCAGAATCTTGCCAACACTCAGAAACTCTTCACAGGCTGGCAGACGGGCAGGACCCAGAAGGACTCGACCAGGTTTCCTCAAACTCACCGGCCCGGGGCCACGGCCGCATCTAAATGGGCTTGAGAGGGGTGCACCTCGGCACAGTGTAGAAGCACACCGACTCTACTGAAGGAGTTCCTGGGTCAGGGGGTCGACCGCAAGGGGAAGGGGTTGGGGGCGATGACCCTCGTTCCAAGCAGCTGAGGCCACCACGCGCTCCTGTCTGCCGCGGGGTAAGCACAGCAGGCGCGGCCTCCCCACCCCGAGGCCTTCAACTTTCCTTCTGAGCGTGCGCAGGGCGTGGCAGGACCGAGCAGAATCTGCTCCCGGGCGGCAGCACGCACCCCACCACATCCGTGATGAAGGCAAGCAAGAGGACAGCCAGGCCCCACGTGGCAGGCGTGTGTGCAGTGGGCAACATGTGTGTGTACACACAAACATATGCACATGCATGCACGCACACACAGCTGTGTGTACACACACACATGCGTGTACATACGCTCATGCACATGGCACACATATACACATTATCACATATACTCACATGCATATACACACATACATGTGTATGCAATACACATGTACACATACTCCGTACACACATTCATACACACTCTCTTGTATACACAGGCACGTGCACACACTCACACGTATACACACATGCATGAGCACATATGCACACATATACACACAAACATGCACACATGCTCATATGTATACACACATGTATGCACATGCACACACACTGTGTACACACTCACACACATTATGCACATACGTACTCATACGTGTGCACATTCACACAGTATACACACACTGTCACACATGCATACACTCATGCACACATATGCACATGTACACATGTGTGTACAAAACATATACATGTACATACACTCATCACATGGCACACATATACACATTATCACATATACTCTAATGCATATATACACATACATGTGTATGCAATACATATGTACACATACTCTGTACACACATTCATACACACTCTCTTGTATACACACTCAGGCATGTGCACACACTCACGTATACACACAGGCACGCATGAGCACATATGCACACATATATACACACAAACATGCACACATGCTCACGTGTATGCACATACACACACTGTATACACACTCACATATTATGCACATACATACTCATATGTGTGCACATTCACACAGTATACACACAAACACTGTCACACATGCATACACATGCACACATATACACATGTACATATATGTGTACAAAACATACGTGTACGTGCACATGGCACACATATATACATGCTCACGTATACTCACATGTATATATACACATACATGTGTATGCACATGCACGTGTACACATGCATGCATACACACATTCATATACACTCGCACACGTGTATACACACTCATGCATGTGCACACATATGCATGAGCACATATGCACACAATACACAAACATGCATACACATGTATATACACACATATATGCACATACACTCATGCACTGTATACACACTTGCACACATGTACACACGTTATACTTATACATACTCATATGTATGCACATTCACACAGTATACACATACTCTCATGCATGCATACACTCATGTGCACACACATATACATGTGCTCACACACATATATACACATACGTGTATGCATACACATAGCCACACACTCCTGTGTATACACGCTTGCACACATACAATATACACACGTGCCACACATGTACACACGTGCACACACAGATACACACATGCACACACAAATACAGCCCTTTCTCAGACACCAGTCGCTGCACACCGTGGGCTGGGCCACTCTACATCAGGTCCCCATTCACAGAGGCCGTGGACAGTGTGCTGACCAGCCCCCGGCGGTCCCCTGGCCTCTGGCAGCGGTTCCTGATGAGCTTGTAGATGGCGAAGCCAGGGGTGGTGAGGCAGGGCACCCCGGCCACGATGACCACCACGACGTACACCCAGCTCGGGTATGCGACCTTCTGGGATTTGGGAAATTCCTCCTGGGGACAGAGGAACCACAGGATAAGCAGACACAAAGGCAGCCAGCGGGGTCTCCTTCAGGGGGCAAAATGCCCCCGACCCCGGTTTGTCTCACCCTCCCGCCTTGTGGGGAAGGGGAGGGAGACCAAGGCCCCTGACCCCCACATGCCTCCTCACAGGGAATTGACCCCTGGCTCCCCGACCCCGGTGGCCCCTGCATGCTCACATAGGCAGGGTCCCAGACACTGTATATCAGCTCCTCGTTGACCTCGACCACGAAGAAGAACAGGAAGATGATCAGCATGAGCAGCGGGCTGACCACTCTCCACATGACTTGCCAGAAGATGTTGGGCTTGTGGCCGATCATAAACTCGACGTCCTTGTTGAACCTGAGAGGGACAGAGGCCAGAAGGGAGCCATCACCTGGTGGACATCACCAGGCCTTCAATCCCATCAAGGCAGAGGGCGGGCCAGTCTCCCGTGACAGATGAACGGCCACCGTCCTGCAGCACCGCCCTTTCCCTCATCACAGTTCTAGCCACGCTTCCAGCAAAGACACGCCTCCAAGGGAAAATCCCTGTCGGCACAGCGGAAGCCATCTCAGGGGCGTCTGGAGACCTCCGCCGTCCTCCGCCCAGTGCTCCAACTTGTAAACTCCTGTCAGAGGCCTCGTTTTCCTCACACGCCCTGGGCGGGCACTCACACAAAGTCAGGGTCAGTACTGCTGGGGTCGTGGAGGAGGGAGGCCATCCAAGCCGTCCCCCCTCAGCCTCCTCCGCAGGGCAGTGGCCCTGAACCTGGACAGCCCATCATCTCCTGCCTGTCCTATGCTGAACGAACTCTCTTCTGCACAAACGAGTTTATTGCTGTGCAAGTCAGAGGGGAGCGGGCAGAAGGTCAAGGGGAGGTCCAGGACCGCTGGCGAACCAGAGGACGCTTCTGCAAAAGCACAGATGCCAGGCCTTGTAGCAGCAGGCCCCGGGAGCTGTGCTGAGCCCCTCCTGCTCGGCCTGTTCCTCCTGAGGCAGCGTTGCACAGTATGCCCGGGGCCGGGGGCCGGCTTCAAACTGTCCTCGGGCCGTTCACAGGTGGACACGCCTGCTTCACAGCCAGAGCGTGGTGTGCGCCACACCCGTGCGTTTCTGTCTGAACATCCTACCCCAGGATTACTGGTGTTACGCCCAGTGGGTCTGCCATGTACTCCTCAGGCTCCCCCACGGCTGTTTGTGTGGTGTTGCTGAAGTGAGCATCCTGCACACGTGCCCTCACACCCGCGTGCGCTGGGTGATGCAGAACAGGCACCCAGAGTGGGAGCCCCGGCAGGGCTTGGGCACATCTCCTCATTCCATGTTCTTAGATCTGGCAGATTATTTCTGAGGTTGTGGCAAGTCCAGCCCCTGCCAAGAACACGGACATGTTTTCTAGTTCCCACCATCTATGGTAATGGGGCGATGCCCTGAATGTCAGCCAAGGGGACGGCTGCCTGTCTTTGCCTGAGGCTGTGTCTGTCTGCAGAGCACTCTCTCCCCCAAGAAAGGCCCAGAGCACCCCCCACAGGAGCACCTGGCCATGGGCCCCGAGTTGGAGTAAAACACTCAGCTCACTCCCCCTGGGCGGGCGCCCGGCAGGATCTGACAAGGAAGCCCATCACTCACACCAAGATCCCTTCCTGTCCACTCCCCACCCCTCATTCCCAGGGGCTGCTGCTAGCCCGACTGAGACACCGAGCTTCCTTCTGCGTTTCCGGTCCATCTGTTCGCAGTGGCGGCTCCTGGTGTACGAGGCGTAACAGTGCCGTCTATGCGGTGTAGCTGCTTTCCTGGCTCATTGTTTGTCTCTTGACTTTGCTTATGACACTTGGTTATAGCATTTTTAATCACACGGTCAGATGAGAGGTGTCCGTGTTTTCATTTGTGGGAGCTATTTTCTCTCCCCCTCCACCAGGACATGCAGAGTCTCCTCGCTCTGCTGTCAGTGTTTACCATTGTATGTTAGTCTGGAAGCATCTGCAAGCTGGAAGGGGTACAGTTTCTATTGCTCTGGACAAGCATCCACCTGGGATCCACCTCCTCTCCCTCCACTCTTCCAGGTGCCAGGCCCCGCACCCACAACTCTCTCCCACCGAGGGAAACGCACGCAGTCCTGTGTCGCAGGCGCCCGTCTCCCACCCTGCCCTGGACGCGGGACTGCTCACCCCACCATGGGGTTTCCTGTGACCGTCAGATGGGCCGTCCCTCCTACCTGTCCACGCCATACACGTAGACGACAGAGAACATCTCGCAGAAGGCGACGACGAGCAGCGGGATGGAGCCAGCATAGCTGTCCATCAGAGAGAGCCAGTACTGGCCCGAGTTCAGCGTGAAAATGAAGGCGATGAGATAGGCCACTAAGCAGATGAGGCCTGCGGGCCGGACAGGGAGCAGAGCCGCTGTGGACGGAGGCTCCACACCTGCCCCACGGCCGTGATGCCCAGAGGTCACTCTGGAGGATTTGCCCACACGGCCCGGCCCTGCATACCTGTGAGCAGCTCCTTGGGCCACTTTTCGGAGGTGATCTTAAGGTCCTGCAGGGGTACGACCACCCCCTCAATGGTCCCGAACATGGATGAGAGGCCCAGGCAGAAGAGCATGGCGAAGAAGAGCACAGACCACAGCGGGGACACTGGCATCTTGGTGATGGCCTCAGTGAAGACGATGAAGGCCAGCCCGGTGCCCTCCACGCCCTGCAGGGCGGGCAGGCACGTCACCCTCAGCACAGGCTTCCTGGCACCCTGGGCGTGCTCCCCAAGGGTCCCCCTCGGCCCGCTCATGTCCCTCTCCCTTCCTGTCAGTGACCCATCACCAGCACATCCCTGGACAGCTCTCTGCCCGCCAGGCAGCACCGGGCAAGTGTCGGGCTGATCTGAGCAGTGTATGAAGTAACCAGATCTTGTCTTTTAGGCCCAAGTGTAGTTTTTGTTTTTTGTGAGGAAGATTAGCCCTGAGCTAACATCCGTTGCCAATCCCCCTCTTTTTGCTGAGGAAGATTCGCTCTGAGCTAACATCCATGCCCATCTTCCTCTACTTTATATGGGACGCCGCCACAGCGTGGCTTGATAAGCGGTTTGTAGGTCTGCGCCCAGGATCCAAACCCAAGAACCCTGGGCCACCGCAGCGGAGTGCGCGAACTTAACCACTATGCCACTGGGCCGGCCCCCCAAGTGTATTTTTAAAAGCTAAACTATGTTTAGAACCAGGATAGGGAGTGCATTGTCCAGCAGTGGTCAGGGCCCCGAGCTGCCTGGACAGAAACATGAGGCAGACACGTAGGGACCGCCATCTGCTCGCTAACAGGGACCCCCACCCACTGGATGCTTCCTGAGACGCACCCCACAAGGCCCGGGTTAAGAGTGCTGAGTGACTTCAGTGGGGTCTGAGCGAGTCCCTTAAATAGATGCCTTGGACCTGTGACCCGTCCACTAGGCTAGAGCAGGTGGTGAGGCAGGCCATGTGCACAGACGGGCTCGCGGTGCAAAAGCACGAAGTCTCCTCACTGCTGGGCTGACCCTGTGCTGCTGCATCAGGCCCCACGTGGGTCAGCGAGACCTCTGGCACCGGCTCCTCCCTCCTGAGGGGCACAGGGGGTGGGGATGGCTCAGTAGGAACTCAGCTCCTGGGGAAGCTCAGCGTCCACCCAAGGGTCCTTCGCTCCTGTGTCTTTCTGCTTCCGAATCAGAGTGCCGCCCAAGAGGACTGACCTCGGAGAGTAAGGAGTTCATGTCGCAGGTCTGGAACGTCAGCTGCGCGAAGGCTGCGGGGTCTGTGGCATTGCACCACCGCTGCATTTCTTCAAAGTTCTCCTGCGTCACGTTGCCTTCAGGCAGGTCAAACCCATTGATGAGTGTCAGGATGTTCCTGGAAAGAGAGCGAGGCTGACTCTGGCCCTGGGCGGGTGCAAGCCTGGTGGGCTCCTCGGAGGCCAGGCGCACAGGTGGCACAGCGCGTGGGAGTGGGGGATGGGCACTCACGCACTGAAGCAGTCGTCGTAGCGCTCGGTGGCCCGGAAGCCAATGATGGAGTAGATCACGGTGGCTGCGTACACGGACGTGAAGCCGTTGATGATGGACACAATCAATGAATCCATCTCGCAGTTGTTGCTGCGGGTGAGAGCAGCATCTGGTCACCGCAGACCGGGGGACGCCGTGTCCGCCCGGCCCGGCCCGCGTGGGTACACAGTGGAGGACAGACGCAGAGCTTCGCCTGGGAGCCGAGCCTGAGAGGTTCAGCGGCAGGTGTGCTGCAGGGGAGGGCGCGGCCCACCGTTCTTCCACTACGGTGCAGGCCCCGAGCACAAGGTGACCTGAGGGCCTGTCCCCACGCCCCCTGTCCACAGCCACTAGCCCCTCGCTCTTGCCATTCTTAACACTTCACAACGCCACCCCCGCCACAAACCTGGTCGCCCTGGAGACCCCTGAAAGCCCTGGGAACCCCTAAAGCAGCCTTCAACCCCACAGCTGGAGCTGGAGACCCCGTTGTTCAAATCCCTGCTCTGCCAATGTCTGCTCTGGCCTCACCCGGTCAGGACCCATCCCCGGGCCTTGCCCCCCACCAGCTGCAAATGTTTCGAGGAGGTGGCCTGGGCCAGACCCCCACAACCTGTACCCCTTCTCCCACTGGTATCCCCTCCCAGCCTCCCCACCTTGGGGGTCTCGCCTCCTCCCAGCTGAGGACCCCCCCATCTCCACCTGGACACCTAAAGCCACCCTCAGCTCAGCACGCCCAGAACCCCACCCATGACCTCCCCACCCAACCCAGCAGCTCTCCCCCTCCACCATCTGCCGACGCTGACACCATCCTTCCAGAGGCTTCCATCCAAAGCCTAGTCCCTCAGCCCTCCGTAAACGCAAGTCAAACCAGAGTGAGACACCATGTCACAGCCACCAGGGCGGCTAGAACCAAAAAGTCAGATAACAGGTATTGGCGAGGGTGTGGAGAAATTGGGGCCCTGCGACGTGGCTGGTGGGACAGTGACATGAGGCAGCAGCCTTGGAAAACAGCTCCTCAAATGATTAAGCCTGGAGCCACCACGTGACCCAGCAATCCACTCCTAGGCGGACCCAAGAAAAATGAAAACACGTGTCCGCACAAAAGCTTGTGCACAAATGTTCACAGCAGCCAAAAAGTGGAAACAACCCCAGTGTCCGTCGGCAGGTGGGTAGGTGAGCACAATGTGGTCCATCCACACAGTGACCACTCTTCAGCCACGAGAGGAGTGAAGCTACTACACGGATGGGCCTCGAGGACGTTATGCTCAGACACAGAAGGACAAAGCCTATAGGATTCCCCGTCTGTGAAGCATCCAGAAGAGGCAAATCCGTAAAGGGAGAAAGCGGATGACTGTTGCTGGGGGGCGGGGGCGGTGGGGTGGGGGACTGCTGATGGGTCCAGGGTCTCTTTTGGGGTGATGAAAATGTTCTGGAATTCGTGGTGGTAGTTGCACAATCCGTGAATATCCTAAAACCACTGGATTGTGCTCTTCAAGTGGGTGAATCGTACCGTGTGGGAGGTGTCTGAATAAAGCTGGAAGAAAATTCGCCCTCAGCTCCCTCCTGCCCCATCCGCTGGGAAGTGACCCCAGGACTTCACCAGGGCCCTGCTGGCCCCACCCTCTCCTGACCCGTCCCCCACGGCCAGCAGGGCATCTGCAGCCACCCCTCCCACCTGAGTCTATGCTCACACAGCACCTTCTCCAACCCGAGCCTGCTCTGATGGATGAGGCCCCTCCAAGACCCCTCGTCCTGCTCTGCGCTTCTTTCTCTGCATCTTTTATCTCCTACGACCTGACATTTGTTCATCCTGGTGTTCATCTCTCTGCAGAACTCAGATCCCAGGAGGTCGGGTCCCGACGCACCAGGGGGCACACAGTGGTGCTCTGTTAATGCTTGTGGGGGTGAACTGATGCCAACTGCGTTCCTTCCTTCAGAGGCCCCTGGAGTCCTGGATGCTGAGGGGTCACCAGGGGAGGGGCATGGTGGACGGAGGGGAGAGCACCAGGGCTCCTGTCACTGGGGCCGAGGCCAAGGGGAGACAGGATCGGAAACGGGCCTCCCTCGTGGTACCCAGCTCATGAAAGTCCTCACTTCCTCCCTGCCTCTCCCAGCCCTGTCCCCCAGAGTCCAGATGGGACTGGAGCAGTGAAGATGCGGGTCGACACTCGCATGTGAGCTGCACCTTCCCCTGCACGCCTTTTGCTCTTTCCACCTTCACCACAGAATCCCACCAAGTCTGATGGGGAAACTTAGGCACACAGCACTCCAAGCCCTGGTGGAGGCCCCACAACTCCCGACGCCCAGGACCACGGGACCCTCTCGTGCACACACTCACTGGACAGAGTTGTAACTGGAGAAGGAGATGAGGCCCCCGAAGGCCAGCGAAAAGGAGTAGAAGACCTGGGCGCCCGCATCAAGCCAGTTGACCGGGTTGGCCAGTTCCTGGACCTGCAGGCAAACAGAGACGCTCAGCTGGGCGCTGCAGGACTCGGGCCCCAGGAAACAAGGGGGCGGTCCCGGGAAGAAGCTCGAGCCCCGAGCCAAGGCGCCCAGCCTGGTGACCGCGGAGGCCGCGGGTGGGCAGGTGGTCAGGACAGACGATGCCCCTGCAGGTGGCAGCTGATGCCTCCCCACACGGTGGCTGCCGTCTGTCCGTCCCTGCAGAGCCGCAGTCAAGCAGCCCCTCGCGGGCCCAGCACGCACACTAGCCCCGGGGGAGGCCTGTCCCCCAGCACACCCCCCACCACGGGGTCGGGCGCCCAGGGCAGACAGCGGGACACTCACATTCGGCGTGAAGAGGAAGACGATGCCATTGGTGGCCCCCTTCAGTGTCAGGCCCCGGATGAGGAAGATTGTCAGGACGATGTAGGGCAGCGTCGAGGTGATGTACACGGCCTAGGGACGGGACAAGTGTGGGACGTAGGGGCAGCCAGGCCCACGAGGAGGAAGGGCTGGTCACGCAGGACCCCGCTCCGCCCTCCTCCACGCGTCCCTCAGCCCCAGGCTTCCTGGGGAGGGGCCCTGGCCTCTCTGCCGCTCCCACGGTTCTGGTGGCAGTTGTGGTTGGTGTTGTGACCGTGTAATCGCGGTTGTTTAGCCCCTCCACTAGACACACTGCGTGTATCACTCTTGCATGCTGCTCTCTAAGCACATTTGAGAGCATCCTGGCCAGCACCGAGTGTCTGGCCGCCAGCCTGGGCGATCAGCAAGGCTGGGGGCAGCAGAAGCACCCCAGACAGAGGGCACGCCGGGGCCGTGACCCTCAGAGCTGGTTAAGGGTGTGGCGGCTCAGACGGGGCTCTGTGAGCACCCGTGGCCCACCCGGCCTCACCTTCCCGGTGGTCTCGATCCCACGGATGGTACAAAGGTAGAGCACACTCCAGGCGCAGGTCAGGGAGAGCAGCATCCACCACTGCACAGAGCCCGAGTCGTTGATGGAGGTGGAGATGTTGAGGGTCTCCCGGTACCAGAAGTAGTCCACGGAGGAGCTGCTGGCACACTCCTCCACATAGCCTGGGGGACGGGCCCTCTCACGCTTCAGTGTGTGGTCACAGAGAGTGTGAACCCATGCGGAGGACAGAGCACGGGGAAGAGCCACAGGGAACACGGGCTGTGCTCCTGGGGCACTCATGCTGGGACGTAGCACACACGTGTGCAGGCACGTACATGCACACAGATGTGTGTGCACATGAGGATGCCTTGCACAACTACACACGTGCACACACATACCCCATGTGCGCACACATCCACACTGACCCACATGTACACACAAGCACACCTGCACACTCACATACACACTCGTGCATACATGTATCCATACAAGCCATGCACATGCATGTGGACGCAAGTATGGTGTGCACCCCGGGGCCTCGACTGCCTGCCCCCGCCCTCTTGCCCCTGCTCCAGGCAGGCGGAGCCCCACAGGCCTGGCTGGGAGTCGGTGCCCAGGCAGGAGGCTCAGCCGTGCAGATCACCGGTCTTTGGGGCTCCCTGACCAAGGCCCGTGCCAGGCGACTCTGTTCAGCCTCACATGCTGGCACCACTGTGGGTCCCCGGGTCCTTGCTGCCCCTCCAGGCTCCGGAACTGCACGGAGACCCTGCTAAGAGGGGAGCAGTCTAATCCCAGAAGACCCCACCCCAGCCCTGGAGACAGGGAAAGTGCCCCGAATGGTCCGAGAGCAGCAAGGGCAGCCTGCAGGCAGGGCCTGTCCTCTTCTGACCCCAAGGGGCCCATCTTGGCGGCCTGACCCCAGCACACCTGGAGGGACCCACGCAGTACACCACACCGGCCACTCTTTGCCTGTTAGAAACGGGCAGTTTCTGTCCTGGTGCAGATGTGTGGAGAGCTGCCGTGCTGAGCACACGTGCTCCTGTCCCCCACGGGCCACCGGCAGAGGGTCTGTTCTCCCATCCTCCCTCCCGGGGGGTCTCAGAAGGACCAGATGATGAGGGGTGGACGATCCTGGGCACACGCCCTGGGGAGAAAGAGACTCCGGGGAACGTGGAGGGAGGGGGGCACCACCCTCCATGATGTGGGGAGCAGCGTTCTCTGGAAAGTTCCACACACACCCTGACTGGTGACCTGGAACCCCACACCCAGTGTCCTCGCTCTGAGGCCAGGAGACAGGTCTCTGTGTAATGTGGGGCCCTTGGCCCGCTGCTTCTGAGAGGGCGGCACAGGGCACTGTGGGAGAAACCCCCAGAGAGGGGCCCCCACCGCTCCTTCCTAACGACCTTGGCCCCGCTCCCCTGAGATGCAGCTTGTAAGAGCTTTTCTCTCGCAGGGCGATTTTTTAATGCTCTGTTGCCTTAAATGTGCCCTGGTTTTTCCCAAACCTGAGCTATAACTATTGAAATTTTAGAAAATCAGAGGGCGACAGGTCATGAACCATCAGTCTGCATGTTCAAAGGTGCAGGGCGGCCCCACACAGCCAGCAGATCCCTGACCCTTGACCCCTGACCTCTGCTCCCAGGCTCACCCGTCCGGTTCTCGTTGAGTGGGCACTGGCTCCATGGCAGAGGGTCCTGGAAGGAGTTGAAGAAGTACCACAGGACCCAGGCGATGATGGTGTTGTAGTACAGGCCCACCATGAAGGACACGATCATGGACGTGATGCCTGGGAGGGCATCAGAGCTGGGGTCAGGGGTCAGTGCTGGGGTGGGGGTCAGAGCTGAGGTAGGGGTCAGACCTGGGGTGAGGGGTCACTGCTGGGGTGGGGGTCACTGCTGGGGTCGGGGTCAGACCTGGGGTGGGGGTCAGAGCTGGGGTGGGGGTCAGACCTGGGGTGAGGGATCACTGCTGGGTGAAGGGTCCTGCTGGGGTGGGGGGTCACTGCTGGGGTGGGGGG